TGAGGGTTATATACTACGGATGCAAGTGCTGAATATGAACAAGTCGAGCAACTAGTCCAAAACAGCTCCAAAGTTGTCCCCAGTAGTACAGAGGTTAGTATACCTCGCTTTCACCGAGGCGGCCCGGGTTCGATTCCCGGCTGGGGAAATTCCTTTTTGCATTTTTTTTGATGCTGTAATGATTAAGTTGGGTGCTGTTATTTGTGATCGAATACACTTTTTGTTCTCACAGCTTGCAATGCTTTGATGCCAACCCACCGACTAGCGTTGAATGTGCACTTTAAAAATACATTTTTTTGAATGGAGCAAATGCCCATGCTGCCACCGCCATACAGAGACGCAAGCACATTTCTTTGAGTGCGAGGAAGGCCGACTCCAACGGGGGCCGGATGCTGCACTAGAAGAAGACGTTATAGGAGAGAGGCGTGCAGAGGGGCGAGAGAGCCAAACGACGTCGCCAAGTCAGCCACAGAGCAACTCGGCGGCACTGCGCCCAAGGCAAGACCGATGGGTACTGGTCCAACGCCTGCGGCTGGAAGTCATACCGGCAAACGGGGAGGCAGGGAGCACTGCGACAGAACACAGGGCAGTACCAGAAGAAAGCAGGGAGAGCCGCGGGCCAATAGACAAGTGGATATTGACAGCGGCTGGCGAGAGATGCCCGTACATCGGAATACCTCGATCCTGGGTGCTTGGGTCGGCCACGGCGATAGCTGCAGAGATGTGCCATGTGCCAATACGGGACAGAAGGGCGCTCGTGGATCGCGCGGGCAATGGCAAACAAAGACGAGCTGAAGTCAGTCACCCGATGGTCCCGCCTAGTAAGGAAAGCCGCGATCTGCACTCGCTGGCAGAAGGAGTACGAGGAACACTGGCTCCCGCGGAACGACGCCCAGATCAGAAAGGAGGAGGCGTCGGAGGTGCGAGCAAAGAGACGCCGACAAGCAATGCGGAAGCAACGACCGCCGACATCAGGGGTTAAGTGTGCGGACGGTACGCCAAAATTCCCGGTGGAAAGAGCGGCAAAGAAAAGAAGCGAGTACGCGGAGCTGTGCAGACTACTCGCAGGCGACTGGAGTCGCGGTGTTAGGAGCCAAGTACCCGGCAGGGGACTATGGTCCGTCAGCACAAAACACTCTTAAGGTTCCGGAGGTGCAAGCCTCACGCATGTGGTTGAGGCGACACTCTATTAGATAGATTTATTTATTTTGTAGAATTAGCTAAGGCCCTGAGGTGCTCTCAGAGTCAACGATCATAGCCCGTGTCCATACAGGGCTCCAATACAACGACTTCATCACTTTAAAAATACATTTTATTTTACATTACTTCAAATTTGTTGTGATTTGGGAGTAAATATGTGAAATGGAAATATTATTTCAAGCTGATGAGCATATTCAGCAGGGCGCGCTAGTCGCTACCCTGCCTTATATACTCCTCAGTATACCCTCA